CCGGGTGGCGGCCGCGCGCGCGGAGCCTGCGCTGGGCAAGTAAGTGGTGCCGGAGGGGTGGTCCTGCCACCTGCTCCGCCCCCGGCGCTTCCCCTGGGTGTGTTGTGCGCGTGCCTGTGTGTGGGTGCGCGTGCGTGTGCAGGTGGGTGGGTGTGCACGCATGTATGCGTGTCCCTGCATGTGTGTGTGTGTAAGTGGGTGCATTCATATGCATGCATATACAGGTGAGTGTGTGTGTCCATACGGGTGGGTGGGTGTTCCTGCATCTGTGTGTGCAAGTGGGTGCATGCATATGCGTACATATACAGGTGAGTGTGTGTGCATACAGGTGAGTAGGTGTTCCTGCATGTGTGTGCATGTATGTGTGGGTGCATGCATGCATATATGTGTTCCTGCTTGTGGGTGTGTGTGTGTGAGTGCATATGTGTGCATACAGGTGGGTGTGTATGCATGCATGTGTGCAAGTGGGTGCACGCACATGTACATGTGCATACAGGTGGGTGTGCGTGCATGTGTGTGAGTGCACATGCGTATACGGGGGGGGGGCATGTGTGCATGTTCAGGGGCCAGTGGGCACTGGCCAGTGCACTTTGCTCCATGTTCCCCCTTGGAGCACTTGTTATTGCTTTAGTCCCAAGAGCTGTGTTGGAGCCCCCTTAATAGCCTCCTCTAGGAACAAGGTGGGGGGTGAACAGTTTCTGTGTGCGGACTTGTGCATCTCTTTCTTTGCCCACCAGATAAGCCTGCCTGAAACATTTTAAGTCCATGATCCTGAGTCTAGGTCAGTGATTCTCGGGCAGGAGGCCACAGGCTCCCACTGGACCTGGAGATCCTTTCCAGGGCTCTGCGGAGCGTGGTGCAGGATCAGCATCCTCCTTGAAAAGGCAGCCACATTTATTTAGGGGTCAAAGCATAAAATAATCATTGTGAATCTTCAGGACAGGCCCAAATTTGGGGGCTGTAGTCCCCGGTAACTGAAACGGGGCTTTTGTTCTAAATTGGAAAAATGGGTCCTGAATTAGTTGACTCAAATATTTGACAGCTAACAAATGAAATGGACATGCTAGTCCTTTTTACATTCTACCTGACCCTTACCCATCATCTCTCTACACTTGGGACAGTATAAAACCTGTTAAAGACCCAAATGTCTACTAAGGTGGTTAATTTCTGAAAATGTGAGTAGTCAAACTTAAGCTTATATGGCTCTTAGCCAGCCACAAAGTTAAGCATCTGAGTGTTACACAGTCTTCTTGTTTCAGAGTGACCTTAAATAAGTCACTTCACAGTTAAAGATGAATCCTGGTAAAATAGCTTAGGATCCAGTGATGAAAAGCACTAAGTTTCAGCACCCAAACATGAAAATAACTCATTTGCTCAACAAACAGAGTCCTGGTCCCTGTGTTGAGCTCCATGCGAGCAAACTCCTTTACATATAGTTTGTTGTAGAACTGAAACAGCTTCGCCACAACTGCTTTAAGTTCTTACATGTTACTCTACCTTAATTTAATTTCCATTCTTTTTTCATTCATTAAAGTAAAATATATAATTACTGTGAGGAAAAAATATTTTTATTTTGCTCTTTGTATACACGGTTAGTTTCTGCTGTTGTTTGTATAACGCAATAAATCCTTCAAATAGGAAGAGGTTTTTGGTTGTAGCTGTGCTGGTCGGCAAGGTTCTGTGAGTAGATGTGATATCTTTTATTAGACCAACTGAGTAGTTGGAAAAAAGTTCTTGGCAAGCATTCAGGCACAGTCACCCTTCTTCAGGCATAGGGAGTCTCTGCTATTCCTAGAATAGAAAGAGAAATACAAGAGACATTTAGAATAAGGAAATGTGCATATATATTATAACCACAACCATTAGCTTACACTTGAAAAGAAATGTGGTAACTGCTTTTTTAACTCTCCTTCCCCCCTTCCCCCCCACCCCATTTAATTTGATGATGGCTCTTTAATTAGGCTATAAGTTATCAACTTACTATAGAGAGGCAGGGAAATAATCTCTACTAAGAAATCTCTATCTTTTGATAGAGATCTCTACCTTTATCAAAACGCTGCGTGCACGGAATAGAAAATTGTAACTGCTGAATATTTTTCTTCAGATGAACTATGGCACCATGCAAGTACAGAGGCTTCTCAAGCCACCTTAGCTAGTGTATCACCCATATTCACCGTGGTAAGTGTATTCCTGTGTCTCAAACAAAGGGGGCCAGTTGGTCTAAGCTTACAGTAATGTTTTGTAATAATTTAGGAACAATTCTTATCAGAAAGAACTGGCTGTTCTCCCTGATGTGTCAATGTGTCTGTTCCTACATTTAAAAACATTTCTAGCTTGAGGGAAGATATTTATATGTATGTATTTGCAATAAAGAGAGAATGATCTTGATATTTAGATAGAGCACATCTCATATAAAGATGCTTTTTAAGACATGGTTTAATACTAAAGAAAGTTAAACACTTTAATTTTTGCAAAAAATAAGCTTTTCCCATTGAAGGAACCTTTTTTTCAATATTAAAACAGTGAATTATCATGTCTGCAATTCTGGGTGCTAGAAGGATTACCATTTTTATATATACAGTTGATAGAATTAATCTAATGATGATTCGTCACAGATAACAGATGGTTGTCTGTTTGCAAACTGTTTGACACCAAGAAGTGGTGTAACCACAGATGTAAGCAGTTGTAACAGATAAACCAGTAGAAAACATGGATTCATATGGAGTCTCTAATCCCTTAGTGAGAGCCATAGAGCTGGATTTTTTCAGCCACATGAAACCTGATATTTAATATAAAAGCACTAGCTTAAAAAAAGAAAGCCCTCTTAAATCAGATGTGCATCTTAAAGGCAAGACTGTAAATTTGATTCAATCTTTGCAGTTTTTCCAATAGACATAATTTTAAGTTTTCCAGACAACTACAAGTGTCATATTTGCTATTTTGGGATGTAAATGCAGAATCAGTAGGGTGTTAGTGGTATCAACTACGCAGCATGCTAATGTAACAATCTATTATATTCCTGATGTGTCACTGTAAACATCTTTCCACAGTGCTTGCCCTTCTCTTTGCAAATTGTCCAGTTAAGAGAATACAAGATAAAACAACAGCATTTGCAATGCCAAATGTAAAAGGGTTCTATTTGGCCACTGTAATAAACCTTGTTCTATGTAAAAATCATTCTTTTTCCTGAGAAGTAAACAGCTAAGCTAAAAAGATGTTCCATGTGACTGGAGGACAGTTTGCAGAGGTGGGATAAAATATACCCCACTAGACTTCTAGGCTAGTGGTTGTCAACCTTTTTTCAGTTGCAGACCCCTAAAAATTTCAAACGGAGGTATGGACCACTTTGGAAATTTTGAATGGAGGTGCACAGACCCTTTTGAATTGTAAGACTGGGTATTCATATATTTTTGATTGATCATAGTAATCTTTCGTGGACCCCTTAGACATAGTCTTCGGACCCCCAAAGACCCACAGCCCATAGGTTGAAAACCATTGTTCTAGGCAAATGCAAGCAATTCACACAACTATTTTCCTATGAGTTTATAACAGCTTTATGAAGACAAAATATTTCTTTTCCCCCCACCTTCAGATGAAGTTTGACAAGGAAGGAAATGCTACCTCTTTTGGTAGGTAGAGTTTAATTTTCTTTTGCTATCTGTTGTTTCTCTTATACAATATAGAATGCACCAATAATTTTCCCACCTATTTTTTTTTAAACATCTCCTTGGTAGAAAGAAAAAAAACAGAGTTGTACCAGGAACTGGGTCTCCAAGCTCGAGATTTAAGATTTCAGCATCTAGTGAGCATTGAACCTAGGAACAACAAGATCATCATGAGAATGGAGGTAAAATGATACTAGTTTGAGTAGGTCTTAATCTTTATAACTGTCAATATCACTTAAAACAAATTTAAACTATTTTTTTTAACCTATATTGTTATGTTCTAGTCATAGGACCCTCTTAATATCAGCTAGTTGTGATCTTGCATATATTATTATGCACCTCTCCTTGGAGATCACCTTGGTGCTGAATATCCTAAAGCAGAATAGCTTTTCTTTATGTTGGGCTCTCCAGTAGCTTGCAGTAATAAACTCCTTCCAGTTTACAGAATGCCTTGCTCTCTCAGGAGGGTCAGACTCTTCTGTTTATGACTATGACAGAACTATCCAAAGGCGTGGGTTGAACACGGCTAAAAATGTGGAGAATATTTCTGTGGTAACTTTAGGAGCCTTTCTGAGTATACTAAGGCAATTTCTGATATTATCTCTGTGCCATCCATTTTGAGGGTTACATGTATAGTTGTAACAGTGGAGCTCACAGTGAAAGAAAACTCTTGATAATTTTAGGGCTTACCATGAATGTCTCTTCACCGTAACATTGCTAGTGCAGCACTCCAGTCACTTTTTCTGCAGTCACTTCTTCTGCAACAGCAAATTGGAATAACCCAGGGGATTGGAAGACAGTTATCATGAGATGGTCTGTGATAGAACATGAGGAGTAAGTGGTTGTATCTACATCTAAGTTCATAGAAAAGCCATATAGTAAAGAGAAAATTAAAAAGAAAAAAAAACACTTAATCAAACCCAAGACAAGCTATGTTACCCTCCATGCATTTAACAGGGGAAAAGTCCCTAATCTTGGATTGGAGTACAAGCTTGGGGCAGGCAGCTGTTGCAGCTCTGACTCTGGCTTCAACTTGGGTTTGAGGGCTGAATCAGAGTTACCACCGCTGCCTCCCTCCCCAGCCCCCCCTTCATCACTTACACTCCAACTCTGGTCCAGAGTACAGAGCAGATGGTAGCTCAAGCCAGCCATTCGAACATGTAGGAGTAGTAGCAGCTCTGGCCCAGTTTTGGGACCAGAGCTGCTGGGAGGTAAGTGCAGGAGGGGCAGGTGCAGAGGGAGGAACATGTGGCAGGGATTAGGCTACTTGACTTTTCTACCACTTACCCTCCTACTGCTACTGCTGCTTGCTCCAAAGGTGGGGAGGTCAGGGGGGAGTGACCTTAAAGACAGCCCTCCAGTAATTAGATTCTCTATACAGAAAATTATAACAAACTACCAAATTACTTGTCAAGAATGCCATGGTGAGGTAGGAGACAGGAGCGCCACCACACACCACCCTGTGCCGCCGCTGCCTCCCAGGAACAGGGGAAGGGCAGGAAGCTTGTCCTGCTGTCCCCTCCATCAGCACCCTTGGAAGCCGTTGCCTCCAGTGCCCCATTCCCACCCCCCACCAGCCCTGCTCCTCGGAGGCAGTGGAGCGCCGTCATGACAGTGAGAATGGAGTGCAGGGATAGCACTCTGCCACCTCTGAGGCGCAGGGCGGGGGGTGAAGCCAACAGTGCTGGCCTCTCCTGACCCCCGGCCCTGCCGTCATGGTGGTGGTCCACATTCTAATTGGTTGTTTTACTAACCAGAGCGCTTCAACAATGTTACAGACAGACAGACAGACGGACTACGCCCTTTATTATATAAGAAGGCATACATTTTCCATATAGAATTTAATTATTGGGAGATAGTCTTGAATTCAAAATAGTCTTTAGATTTGGGTGAATACAGTAATCTTCACAAAGTTTAAACTTCCTCCTAAATGCACTTTCTCTTTCAGTTTTTAAAGGCTGTGGTATCACCAGAGTTTCTTCTGATACTAGATCATCGCAATATGAATATGGAACAGTGGCTGTCCCAAGAATTAGCATCTCAACTGGCTGGAGAAGGGCAGCTAGTTACGTGTTCCTTGCCCTTTGAATTTAGAGCCATTGAAGTAATCCTGCAATATTGGGTGAGCTGGTTGCTGTTACTGTACACTTAAATTGTGTGTGTGTGTGTGTGTGTGTGTGTGTGTGTGTGTGTGTGTGTGTGTGTGTGTGAAGCTACTTTTGAAAATGTTGCTTCATAGGAGTGACTCTTTTGATGTTTTTTTAAATCTTTTTCTCTTTAATCTTCTCAGCAGTACTTCAGGTTTGTCTGAGGGTTCGTTTTGTTTGTTTCCACCCCTCAGATAGCTCAATAGGGAGGACAGTTAGCCACTAGAGCAGCTTCTCCAAGGACATGATAAAGTTGTCATTATTTAGAACTTTTAAATGTCTCTCAAATTCGTTATAGCTTAAAGACGTTTTATAGTTTCTTGTAGAATTTGCTGTGCCCATGGTTTGTAGCCTGCCTTGCAGAGAAGATCAGACCAACTGCTCACAGTGTTTCCTTCCAGTCTTAAAGTATATTGTTGTTAATGAAAACTGCATTTTTTGTCAGGTGCAGCACATTTTAAATAGATGAGCCTCACCTTGCCTTTTTTTCAGTATAGCTAGCATCAGATTTCAGTTTTATATAACGACACTTTTCAAAAGCATTGTCTTCTAATATTGGTTTCTCCTTGAAAATAATAGCAGTATTCCAGGCATCTTCTACTTACTGAAAAGTCCATTATACAGTTACCTGTTACAGTGAATTATGTGGTCAGTGAGAGGGGTCAGTTGCCCAGGCCATTCTAGAAGGATTGTTTTAATTCTTATGAAGGATCATGTTGTTATCTAGATCAGCAAACTGCAGGCGAGACTTAACCTTTTGCAGCCTCAGATCCTTGAGACACTGGAAGCTCTAGTGGACCCCAAGCTTTTGTCTGTGGATAGGAGTAAACTACATGTTCTACTACAAAATGGCAAGAGGTAAATAAGAGTAAGCCATAGAGAGAATAGAAATGATGTACGGTGAAACTTTGAGGCGGGGGGGAAAGCTCTGTGGAAAGCTTTACTGTAGAGGTGTGCATTTTTATCTTTACCATAAATGCAAGTATATGAAGTATTTGGTAATAAAAAGATATGCCTACTATGAGTTGATAGAAATGTAACTTACCTTCTTAGGTTGTGTATTATATCAAACAATAATGCTAAACAATTTAGCATGTTCATTGTAATGTAAAAATAAGATAAATGATTCCAAAAATTTAAGAAAGCTGCAAATAAGTGAGCATACTGGGCTATAATGTATATCAGTATGAAATGTGGATTTCCTGCCTGAATCCTACTTTATTTTTCTGAGTAAACATGGTCCCTGGAGACATGTCCAGAAACTTCTTGCAATTAAGGATTTGTGATTATGGGGCAGCTTTTCCCCAGATGTATTGGTATCACAGCTGAATGTAAGGGCTAGATGATTTAAATTTCTAAGCAACTCTCCCCCAGTGATTCTATTCTGACAAGATCTCTGGGAAATGAGTGTGAAATGATTACTTCTCTACAGCAGTGCCAATGAGACTGAGTGATGGCTTGTCTGCCTCTTTGTGTTCTCTCTCAGCCTGTCAGAATTAGAAACAGATCTCAGAGTTTTCAAAGAAACTCTGCTGAAAATCTTGGATGAAGAAGAATTAATAGAAGAGCTCTGTCTAACTAAATGGACTGATCCACAAGTATTGTAAGTTTGGGAGGGGAATTGGGACATTTAGATGAGGAATTTTCTCCTCAAAAAAAATCACTTTGTAAATCCTAATACTTTACATCCTCCCAGCATGGCCATACTGGAACAAAACTACTCACATCAAGATGGGATCATTAAGGGCGCTGCTTCATCATCCATTTATAATAGCTGGCCAGCATTATAGCTCCACATGAGAAAATTATGGGCAGGGTCTAGGAAAGCAAAGAGAGAGTAGATTTATTTCAATTTGTAATTCAAGATAAAACTTTTAGAATATATTTCAGGGAGAGGAAGAATGGAAGATTTCTGTTGCTTTCATACATGCTTAAAGGTCATGTTGGTGTAGATCAACTGTTTTACATCCCAGTATTAATAAACTGCCATGCTTCCCTTGCTGCTAACTTTGCCCACTAGCAGAGTTCATAAAATGGAACTGGAATCTCATGATAGTAACACTGAATACTGTTTTCATGCAAAACTATACAGCACTAATACATAGCACCCCAAGACAACTGTATATAGCTAAAATAACCCTGTGATGCCATTTTGAGTAGAGTAGCACACACAGCAGTGACACTGGTCACTTTAACAAAAATGCCATTAAACTAAAAAGCAAAAAGTGGAGACTCTCCTTGACAAGATGTTGGCCTGATTTTATACTTGGATACTGGGTATATTGACAGACTGATGGGTCTCAGGGGAAGCTGAGAACACAGACTGACTTGATGTTGTTTATACAGTGCTACAGATGCAATAGGTGCTTTAGTGACATCCAGTTCCTTGCCCTAATGAGCTGCCACAGTATAAATAGACTATAAAAGTCCAAGAGGTGGGGTGATAAGGAATTACAGGTGAAACATGACAGATATGGGAAGTGTACCTAGGGGAGTAAGGAGCAGTTATATGTGAGGAAGAGTAAGTTGACTCTGACATAGTTACTTGTCAGCTTGAAGCTACATGTCATGAAGCTTCATTAGGAGTGTCAGCAGAACATCAAGGGACTTTACCTTTAAGTCTTTGGGGCTTGTTGTCGAGTCCCCCTCTTCCTAGATCTGTACAAGGGTCAATGCAAAGGCAATCACAAATGAGAACTGAGCTTGGGGTGCTTGGTACAGCTGGTGTTAGGGCACTGAAGCTTTCTCAGGCCTGTACAGCCAAAGCCTCTAAAACTGGAAGATTCTGAAGCAAATAGTCTACCTCAAAGTATCCTCTCCAAGAGAGAAATGAGTGTCCTCTTATCCCAATACTTACTTCAGCATGGTTGTAACAGTTGCTGGAAAAAATCAGATTTACAGGGATTCTTTTAAATTGTCCCCTGAGAAGGCAAGCACAAGTAGCATTCATTAAAGACTCTGCAGAGGAGAAGCCAATCTCCTCTGGCAAACAGTGCTGTTAAAGTTGTACCATTGGGGAAAAAAGTGAAAGTTCTTCCAGGCTTCTCCCCTGTGTTGTATGCTTTAGCTATTTTTGATCTCTGCCTTGTGAAATTAAAATCCAAAATAACTCCAGAAATTTACCTCAATCAACTCTGTCCTAGAGAGAGTGACCAAGTGCTCCAGCTCTTGTGCCCCTTGCCAAGTAGAAACTGATTCATTTGGAGAGACTATGATTGCTCAGACTTCAGATCAGGAAACAGCCAAAACAGTTTCACATACTAAGTCTTGGGTAATGGCCATAGGTTCCTCTATTCACAGAGTGCTTCATCATGTTCACTGTTGATGCATAACTGAAGACAATAAATATTTTTCCAGTCTAGCACTTAAGTCAACAGATCTCCTTGCGTAATTGCTAGGGGGAAGGAGAGTTTCAGCACCGTTGCCAACTTCCACCACTTGAGGGCACCAAAAACATTTAAAATTCTCCTTTTAAAATTAAAAGTGTCATCATTTAATGCTGGGAAACGATTTGTACATCACCTGCACACATTTATATTATGGCAGTTCATTTTATTGATCAAAGTAATCTATTGTCTCTGCTTGTCAATTGATTAAATACTGGAAGAACATGTACCATTTTTATCTATACTGTTAGTAACAGTGGAAATTTCCAGCACACCTGATGGGTTAGTGGGCATTGGTGTCAGATGTGACTATTAAAGGGGGGGGTTTTCCCTCATTATTTTGTTATGAGTCTCCTCTTGAGAGGCACATTGTAGACAAGTGTTGCTGATACCTAACAGGAAAATAAAAATTGTTGCTTACAGTAAGGAGAGTACATCTGGAATTGATCACGCAGAAGAAATGGAACTGTTGTTGGAGAATTATTACAGACAAACTGAAGATCTTGCTAATGAAGCTCGTGAACTCAGAGTATTGATCGATGATTCAGAAAGTATTATCTTTATCAACCTGGACAGGTTAGCTATTCTTTATGACATGTACCATTTACTAGATGGTCAGAAGTTTTGCTGAAGTTAATGTTGCCTGACCTTTTTTGGAAATTAGTTCAAGAGAAAATTGATTATTGGACTCTTTTTTTTTTTTTTTCTTTTGAGTTCTTACATCCTTGAAAAGCACAAACAGTGGAAGCCACATTCTGCTTTCCTGGTGTATGTTCTGGGCCATAAAAAGCAACAGAACCGTTTTATTAGAATATGCAAAACATGTTTGGTTTTTAGCCAAGCTTCAATAAAAATGGGGAGCCAGGGACTGGGAAATTCACTCCACATGATTCTAGGATGTAGTGAAGAAAATGCTTGCGTGTTCATAGAGAAAGTAGAGCTGCTGTTTTATGAAGGGTTGTTATATAAGGAAACAAAACTAAAACATTTGATTTTGTTCTGAAATGTAAGTGAGGTATAAGTGTTGGTGCCTGCCTTCAAAAACCATTGCATTAATTTGTCTTGGATTCAACTTTTATCAGAAGTGGCATCAGTTCTAAATATGATGATGCAGTAACAGTGTGAAGTGAATTTAACTAATGGTCTGAAATCCCTCATAAATAGAGGGCTGAAATTTCTCTTATTGTACATTAAGCCTTCTGCATAGTTTGTTTTCCTTAAAGTCTTAAGCTTACAAGTGCAAATATCTACATCTGAATGCTCAGAAGCAGTGCATAATACACCGGAGAGTGCTCTGCGGCATCTATTGAATGCTTCTATCAGGAGGCCAGCAAAAAAGCCTTTCCTCAAGAGAAGTATGTGGAATAGACCCTAACAAACTGAACTTTAAAGTCTGCAGCATTTTCTGACCCTCTCTCTTTAAGTATGCTTGCAAGATAAAAAAAAATTACTGTTAAGAAAAAAGACAATTTAAGAAAAAAAAGACACAATTCTGTTAGGGGCAGAATGCAAGTTTCCATAAGCTTGTACTATTACTCTGCACATATAAACTGCGAGACCCACAAGCCTGTTGATGGCTAAGTAGTGTGACACCCTAGAGATTCTGATGCAGCAGTTTCAGAACATCTTTGGAATAATCATCTGTTTCAACAGCTCTTGTTTTTGTGTTGCCTGATTCCAGCAGCATTTCGCTCTTGCCAATTGTTGCAGTTTAGTGCAGACTATATAAAACTTGAGCATCGGATAGCAAGGAGATGTTTGCATTCCTTTCATAAATATTCCTTCCCTCTCCAGCCACCGTAATGTTATGATGAGACTGAACTTACAGCTGACCATGGGGACTTTCTCCCTCTCTCTTTTTGGACTGATAGGAGTAGCATTTGGTATGAACTTGGAGTCCACACTTGAAGAGGTGAGAACCAATGCTGCTTTGATAAATGACAAATGCTTTGATAAATGTTTTGAAAAATATGGGTTCTGCTTATCATCTCCACGAGCTTTTAGATTTAAACTCCATTCTCTTCAGTAGCAGAAATCCAGACTTAAATTGCTCTAAGTGACCAGAAAAATCAGGCCCACTGTTTTTAGTTTCAGAGCAGTAATTTTCTTCTTTCACTGCAAATCAGTCTGAAACTAAGTCTGTCATAAAATAACCCATCTGCTGTATGCGCATTCTTCTGGGTTACCAGTAGAGGTGCACTGATATATCGGTCCGTAGTGCATTAGCACTGATTAAAGGAAAATTGACATTATCAGCAATCAGCCTTTTTTGGCTGATGTGGCCAGTAATGTCACTGATAAATGTCACGTGCATGTGTACAGCTGCAGCATGCACGTAGCCAGGAATGCAGCCCAGCAGCCTGGAGACCAGTGACTGGCTGGTAAGTCTGTAGGGCGGAAGGGGCGTTGGGAATGAGAAGGAAAGAGGCATAGAGGGGGTAGATCAAGGCCCCCAGAGTGGGGCAGGGGCAGGCACTGCCCAGCTGGGCAAGATGTGGGATGGAGCTGTGGGTGGCTCATCTGGGGGAGCAGAGGGGGCATTCCCATTGCTGTGCATACCCTCAGGGGAGGCATAGGGAACATGTGCCCCCCAGATTTGTATGTGGGGCAAGGATGGGCTGCCCGCTGCACTAGCCTCTACCTGGCCGGGAACTAGGGGGACAGGCTGGGCCCGAATGATGGCGCTGAGAGGGAGGCCTATGGAGAATTTTGAGGTGGCCATAGCCCCCCTCCCAGCACTGCCCCCCCCCCACCCCACCCCCTGCTGGGAAGAGGCTAATGCAGCCCCTGACCCACCCTTGCCCTGCGTACGCATGCCCGCCATGCCTCCCCCGGAGGTGCGTGCAGCAGCAAGAGTGCCCCCTCACCCCTCCGGACAAGGGGCCCTTGGCTTTGTCCCCGCACCCTGCCCCTCCCTACCCTGGCTAAGTAGCACGCGTCCCAGCCCCACTCCTTCCCTCACCGTGGGGGCCCCTCGATCTCCCCTAGCTCACACTCCTTCCCTCCTCCCCACCCCCCGACTTACCAGCTGGACACAGCTTTCCAAGTCTGCCGGGCAGCATATCAGCAATCCGATTGGTATTGGCCAATATAGCTGGCTAATAATTGGCCATCGGTATTGCCAAAAAAATCTTTCTGTACACCCCTATTTACCAGGAAGAGCAATTCCCTGGGATGGGGAAAAATAGAGAGAACTGTACTTACCCAGTGGTTGACTGTAGGCTATGTTAATATTCTTGAATGACTGTTCATCCTTGTAAAAAGCCTGGTGAGAATGTCTTTTGTACTGTATACAAGAATATAAAAATCAGTCACTGGCTTGTAGCCATAGCTGTGTTGCAAGTAATATTGTTATACCCAGATAGTAGAATCATCCGCATTTGTACGCACTACACTAAAATGGAATACAGTTCTTAATTTTTCCTTCCTTCCCTCTAGTGGAGAAATATGGGAAATGGTGGGGGAGGCTATACATTTCTAAATGCTTTGCTTTTATTCTTCCATATCCATAAGAAATGCTATATGTGCCAACTTGACGGTGTACGTAGTCTTTGAAACAGTGTTATGCTGATGAGGCATAGATTCCTTTGTGTGGCAACTACTCAACCACATTAAGTGCCTGCTGTTGGTAGACTTCAGCAAGTGCCTCATGCATCCTCCAACAGTCAGCCTGATGTGGAATGAAATCAGAGGCAGGGAATCTTGATGATCACACACCCTAAGAGACCTGCTTGACTTAACACTCTTCTTCCATTGCTAGGACCTCAGAGCATTTTGGCTGGTGACAGGGATTATGTTTTTGGGAAGTGGCCTTATGTGGCGGCGTTTGCTTTCGTTCCTTGGACGGCATCTTGAACCTTCAGTACCTCCACAGGTATGTATTGCTGGCTAAGGTTTCTGCTTATTTCTGGCTGGACAGGTGGTACCACATGTACCAGTTGATTAAACAAGAAGAGAGGAGAGAGACAGTTTGTGGAAGTATTTGTTCTAACCCTTGGTCCCCAGCTTCGTAGGTAGCCCTTCCTCAGCAGGCATAGGACGAGCCCAATGGGAGTGGGGGGAGCAAAAGGGGGAACCTTGGATGGACCCAAGATAGACTGTCACAGTGCAAACACGGTACTTCACACCACAGCACAGGCCAAGAGACTCCCTAAAAGTTGCGAAAATGTCTTCTCCCTTTCCATTGCAGCTGATCACATGGCTGCAAGACGGTACCACCATTCTAGCATCCTTTTTTTCACTTCTGTACCATTCAACTCAGCCCAAGGTAGCACCCTAGAATGCTGCTTTCCTTTCCTCTGTGCCCCAGCCCTACCCTGAGCAGAAAGGAGATTTCTTGTGGAGGGTATTTCTGGTGGAGAGTATTCTAAACAAAGTCCAAGCTAGGAGAGAGAAGACAAGGATAGAGGTTAACTACAAAAAAGGTCATGCTTATGTTGGGGAGCAGTGCTTGGAGGATATCTTGACCTTCCATCCTCCTCCCCTCACCCCCCCAGTTAGGACACTTGTAATTCCTCTGTACCTACACTTCATAATCGATTGTGAAGAGCTTGATGCCAGATTCTCTTGATACTTTAGAGAATATAGATTCATAGATGTTAGGGTCAGAAGGGACCTCAGTAGGTCATCAAGTCCAACCCCCTGCCCTGGGCAGAAAAGAGCGCTGGGATCAGATGATCCCAAGCTAGGTGCTTGTCCAGTCTCCTCTTGCAGACCCCCAAGGTAAGGGAGACCACCACCTTCCTTGGAAGCCCATTCCAGATTCTGGCAACCCTTACTGTGAAGAAATTCATTCTAATGTCCAACCTAAATCTGCTCTGTCAATTTATGGCCATTGTTCCTAGTTACTTCAGGGGGTGCCCTAGTAAATAGAGCATCTCCTATTCCCTGCTGCCCTTCCCTGATGAATCTTATAGGAAGCCACAAGATCACCTCTCAGCCTTCTCTTGCAAAGGCTGAAAAGATCTAGGTCCCTCAGCCTCTACTCATAGGGCCTTGCCTGCAGGCCTCTACCCGTATGAGTGACCCTCCTCTGAACTCTCTCAAGATTCTCCGCATCCCTCTTGAAGTGCGGCACCCAAAACTGGACGCAGTACTCCAACTGTGGTCTGACCAGTGCCGCATAGAGGGGAAGCGTCACCTCCCTAGACCTGTTCATCATGCATCTGCTAATGCATGATAAAGTGCAATTAGCCTTGTTGATCACTTTGTCACATTGACTCCAAGATGAATGAGTCGTTAACTATGCATCCAAGATCCCTTTCCGCTCTTGTGCTCCTGAGAAGGTCATCCCCCAGCTTGTAAGTGTGTCGGTGGTTCTTTTTGCCCAGGTGTAGCACTTTGCACTTGCCTTCATTGAACTGCATCCTGTTTCATTCTGCCAATTTTTCCAACCTGTCCAGATCCACCTGGATCCATTCCCTACCCTCTGGTGTGTTAACTTTCCCCATAATTTGGTACCATCTGCAAACTTGGACAGGGTGCTCTCTACGCCCTCATCCAGGTCGCTGATGAAGACATTGAATAACACCAGTCCAAGGACCGAGGCTTGCGGGACTCCATTGCCCACATCTTTCTAGGTTGATATAAATCCATCCACCACCACTCTAGGTGCAACCCCTAAGCCAATTTACCACCCACCTGACAGTGTAATCATCTACATCACAGCCTGTCAGTTTATTTACTGGAACAGAATGCGATACTGTATCGAAGGCCTTCTTAAAGTCTAGGTGGATGACATCTACCTCGACTCCTGCGTCTCAGCATTTTGTGACCTGGTCATAAAAAGAAACAAGGTTAGTCAGGCAGGATCTACCTGCAGTGAACCCATGCTGATTTCCTTTCAGCATTATTTCCCCTGCTGGGCTCCCACAAATGTGATCTTTAATGATTTATTCCAGAGTTTTCCCAAGGATAGAGATGAGACTAACTGGCCTATAGTTTCCTGGTTCCTCCCTCCTCCCCTTCTTGAAAATAGGCACCACATTGGCCCTTTTTCAGTCCACTGGGACCTGACCAGACACCATAAATGCTTGAACAGCCATGCCAGCAGCTCTGCTATGACACTGGCCAATTCCTTCAGCACCCTTGGATTAAGTTCATCCAGGCTCACTGATTTGAACACATCCAGCCCCTCCAAGTGCCCCTTCACTACGTCTGCACTAACAGTTGATGTGCTGGTGTCCCTCCTGTGTGTTCAGTCCACTGGGACCTGACCAGACACCATAAATGCTTGAACAGCCATGCCAGCAGCTCTGCTATGACACTGGCCAATTCCTTCAGCACCCTTGGATTAAGTTCATCCAGGCTCACTGATTTGAACACATCCAGCCCCTCCAAGTGCCCCTTCACTACGTCTGCACTAACAGTTGATGTGCTGGTGTCCCTCCTGTGTGTATCTATGATCCTTTTGGGAGATTTGTCTTGGTCTGTGTCTAGGAATACAGATGCAAAGAACTCATTGAACAGCTCAGCTTTGCCCCCCCCCCCTGTCACCAATTGCCTTAGTTTGTCCTGTAGGGGTACTATGCTATCCTGCGCCTTCCTTTTGTTTCCTATATACCTGAAGAAGGACTTTGTTGTCCTTAATTTTTGTTGCCAGCCTAAATTCTAATCCTGCTTTGGCCTTCCTAACTGATTCCCTGCAAGTGCAAGCCAGGGAGGTATACTCCTCCTTGGTAGCTACCCCCCTGTTTCCACAGCCTGTATCCCTCTTTCTTTGACCTCAGGCTTTCCTGGACTTCCCTGTTCAGCCAAAAGGGCTTCTTGCCCCTTTGCCCCCTTTTATGCACAAAGGGATTGTCTCCTGCACCTGTAGGATCGCTCTCTTGAGGAACGGCCACCCTTCCTGGACCCCCATTTCGCCAATGCTCTTGAGCTTTAACACCTCACTAACTAATCTGCTGAGCATTGAAGTGAGCCTTTTTAAAGTCTAGCACTTCAGCCCTGCTGGTTAGTTTACCCACCCTTTGCCAGATAGTGAATTCAGTCAAGCAATGGTCACTGTCCCCTAGGTTACCTTGTACCTGCAGATTCCCCATCAGGTCATCCCCTGTAGCCAACACCAAGTCCAGCAAGGCGTTCCCTGTAATGGGATCGTATACCTCTTGCGTTAGATGGAGGTCCTGTATGCAGGTTAAGAACCTACGTGAGCAGTTAGATTTGGCTGACTGCTCCTTCCAGCAGACGGTTGTCATGGGTGACCTAAACTACCCAGACATGTCCCTAGACTGTACAGCCTCTGAGAGCTGCCTGGAGAATTCCAGGTCTAGCTCATCCCCCTTGTGTAGCGGTCTATAGTAGACCACCCCCCACCGACCCTCTTGTATCCTGACCCACAGTACCTCTGTTTGGCCCTCCTTCTGTTCCCATCTTGATTACAGAGGATGTATATTGTTCCTTAACATAGAGAGCAACCCCCCCCCCCTTTTTTCCCCCCCCACTCTATCCTGTCTGTACAACCTGTAACCCTCAATGCCTACTGCCCAATTGTGAGTAGGGTCCCACCAGGTTTCAGGTAGTCCAACCAAGTTGAAGTTGTTGCTTGCAAACAGGACTGCAAGTTCCTCCTGCTTGTTCCTCATGCTTCTAGCATTAGTATAGAGACATTTAAGCCCCTCAATGGGTGCCCCTGTAACCCCCTGTCCTGATGTCTATCGGGCCCCTTAGTGCTCACCTAGACCAGTCTAGTACATTGCTCGTGGCTCACTGATTCTAGGTTCTCCTTATCCTCTGCTTCCCCATCCCCCAGTGAACCTAGTTTAAAGCCCTTCAGAGGAGATCAGCCAACCTGTAAGAGAACAGACTCTTACTTTTAGAAGAGACATGAAGACCATCTTGTCCCAGGATGCCTCTCTCATGGAAGTGCAGACCATGGTTGTAGAAGCCAAAACCCACATGATGGCACCAACTCCGGAGCTGCAGGTTGACTTCCCTGATGCAGGCATCCTGATACTAACAGCAACCGGTGACTGGAAGGATGGACTAGAAGACCACCTGTTCCCCTGACTTTCTAAGCCTGGCCCCCAAAGCCCTGCAGTCACTTACGACACGGTCCAGACTACTCCTGGCTGCATCATTCGTGCCCACATGGACGAGGACCATGGGACAGTAATCAGAGGGCCGGATGAGGTCGGAATCCTCATTGTGATATCCCGGATCCTGGCTCTGGGTAGGCAGCAAACCTCCCATGTCATGGGATCTGGTCAACAGATAGGTCCCTCCGTGCCTCAGGAGGCAGTCACCCACCACAATAACCTGGTGTCTCTTCCTCCGGCTTCTCAGTTGTCGCTCAGCCTGCCTGGTGTTTGTTGCAGATGGTTCTTCCCCTTCAGCTTCCTCTGCTGCATCATCCTCCAGCGCTGCCAGGACTTCATATCTGTTCCCCAGTTGCACTGGGGAAGCGGTCACAGCCGTACGCCGTCTAGCTTTGGAGGTGACCATCCTCCATTCAGTTGCCCTGGGACTCTCCCGTGATGTCTCTGCACCAGGTGTCTGGTCCTGCAGAGAATGAAAGTACCCATCAATCTTATCCTCTGCAGCCCTGATCCTCCACAGCCTGCTTACCTCTGCCTGGAGTTCCCTCAACTGCCCCTCCAGGGCCTCAATCTGGGCACATGTGGGACAGGCAAGGGAATGCCCAGCCCCCAGGCGTCAGAGGTCCTGCTAGGCAGCCCCCACAGACGGGGCCAAAGCACTGCCGACCTATCTAAGGGACCTGTCTGGGTGGAGGCCTCTGGGCTGGAGGCAGCAGCAGGGCAGGGGCCCTGGCTGCACTCCCTGTCACCACCCCCATAGTATCCCCCCTTACCTAAAGTCTCTGTCAGAAGCTTCTGTGTATGCCTGCCCATGAACTGGCTTGTGAATTGCCTGCAAACTGCTCCCCTATTGGCAGTCCCTGTTCACTGGGACTATGCTCTTAAGACAACCGGTATGAGTTTGTATAGTCTTTATTTTAATAATCTGTGCCTATTGTGCATCTTGCCTAGGTACATACCTTCCTGAAAAAAACTCAACCAGCAGCAGGGAGGACTGAAGTGAAGCGCATCCTTAAAACAGAAGCCTTTGGGTCAAGCAAGAACACATTGGCAAACCAGTAGAAACTTAATATTTCATCTCCAGTTGTCAGTGGTGTTACATTGTAAACTTCAGAAACTTTATTGCATTTGTTCTCCCTTTAGTAAAAACTTAAGGATTTTTAAACACTAGATGAATTAGTCTGGCATATCAAAGGCTATTCCAGAACAAAAATGTGTGGAGGTTTTAATTGCACAAGAGTCAGTAAATGCAGAGAGATTCCCATAGTACCTTTTAATTTTATCCCTGTGTGTTACACTAGGATATTACATAAATCTGCTGTATCATGCAGGCTTTCAGCATCTGCTTTTCATCTTGAGGCCTCCATTTAATAACTGTTCGGGTCCAGCTAAGGTAGTGCTACAGATAGAGAGGCAAGGTGTTTTTTTAATATAAAGAGCCTATAGTTGTCCTCAGAAAGAAGTCTTTTGGGTATTAGGCTGACAATTCAGATGCTGAGTAAAGGAGTTAAGCACCTAACACTAGGCTCTTTAAAAGAAGTCTTAGCCATTCTCTTTGCAGATGACAGAAGCAGGAGTCGTATCCACATCTCTTGTAAAGCACTACCACTAACTCGGCAGCAGCCAGAAGACAACATGACTTAGCTAATTTTCAATAAGAAATAACAAATTTTGTATAGATAATCATCCATTCAGAAACTAACCAGGCCTCACTGTGCTTAGTCTTTTTTTAAAGCCCTAGAATAGCACACACTGGTAAACTGGTAAGCAGATGAAAATTCAGGCATCACAGTCAGTGCTAAATGATGGATGTATTCAGACAGCTGCAATAGGATAGTTCCTTATATTTATATTATTAGTAAGGACTTACCTTAGGGCCTGATCCAGATCTAGTTAAAAAAAAAAAAAAAAAAATGAAACAAGCTGTTGATTTTTCTTTTTCATTGCCTTGGCCTGACTTGTTTTCTTCCCTCTTAAAGAAGTCAGGATGATTACAAGGAACCACAAGCCAGATGGCAGCAATCTTGCAGCTGGTTTCATCACTATTTATGGTAATTGAGTTCAGGAGCTGTGTGTGGATTTGAATTGGGTCACATCTGAGGATAATACAAAGAAACAACTAGGTTGCATTACATAGCTGAGGGATGAAGGCTGTTGAAAGGCCTGGTTTGATTCTGGGAGAGGAGAAAGGAAGAGTTAAATACCACACCAGCCCCCTTATTTGCTTCAAGTCTTGCATAATTTTAAGTGAGATGCAGTTTTTCTGTATGAACTTTGACTCTGATTCTCTGCTGGTTTGGTCCACTGTGAAAAATGAGCATAAAGCCCTTCTAGAGGAAGGAACTGTTACATCTGTGCAAAGAGCAGTAAGCTAGGTCCTTAAACATACAAACAGCTGCACATGTGACAGACTGAAAGGTTGATCATTCTAGCAGCTAAAAGGACTCATTACTCAGGTGAGTAGCCTGTAGAAACTTGACACTATTGAATCTGGTGTAATTATGTAGGCTTTTGCCTTAATTCAAGTAAAAATCACTTGTGGTTGCCAATGATTATCAGATAACTGATTTAACTTTCTTATAGGAAAATAAAACACAGTTCTTGCTGCATTTCTTTCTGTAAACTAAGTATAGATGTAAAAGGGATTAAGTGAGTATCTAACTGATGGGATTTATAAATACTTTTATAAGATGAGTTTTAAAATGGTCATTACCAGTCTGGTGGCTGTTCCATGATTGATAGGAGATGGTTTGGTCTCTGTCCAGCTTTTACAGAAAGTGACCACATTCAGTGAACACCTGTGATTCAAGATTGACGGCCCTTTGCTGGCCTACCCAGAGAAGCCATCAAATGAAGGGGTATGGACACAGGTATTTTTATCAGAGTTAAAATACACTGGTATGGCAGCTAGGAAGACTTGAAGTGCTGCTTGCCAGCAATTATCTTTCCTACAGAAATAGGTCTCTAGGAGTGTTTGACTCCTTTTGCTTGTACTTTAATTGATTTAAAGCACAATAAAAGAATTTTAACATATGCAGCCTTTCAAAACAAGAGTCTTATTGCAGGAGTAACCCAACTCTTAAAAACCACTGAAAGTTTTAACACTTGTACAATTCAAACTGCCATGTGTTGTCATGTGTAACAAAACAATCTGAAATTAACCATGAAAAAATTGAGATGAAGGTGACCTGCAGGGTTTGGGTCAAACTGCCACTGAGCAGCCACAGATCAAATCAACAGATCAATATGGTTTATGTAATACTTAACAATTTTAATTTAAAGAAGACATGCTCCTTTTGTTCTGCCTCAGACCTGCAAATAAAATGAATACCTGTTTTACCCTTTTGTTTGGCAAACTGGGCTCTTTAATTTTGCAGATTTAATAATAAGAGCCTTGCTGTGAAGCTTTTCAATTCTGATAAAATTGTAACCAATAAGTCTTTTCCTGGATGATTCCTTTAAATGTGTAAGGTTGCTGCTTAATGTTCTGCAAAAGATCCTTTTGGATTGAACCTTCTTCCTTTTGCCTGGGAGCTGCCAAATAGGGGGTTGTCTGGGAATCCAGTAATCTAGCATTCTTAGAACATAGGCAAGGCAAGTCTACCTGCTCACCTGTCCTAATGGCACAGCTGTTAGAAACTGCCCATTCCAAGATCTCAACACTGTTGTCTGATGGCTTCACTTTGAATGTCCAAAGCAGACATGCATGCTGAAAATGATTTGACTTCCCTTAGGTAGACCACTTGCACATCCAGAGTATGCTTAAGACATGGCTATTTGGGGTAGCTGATGCTGAAGGTCTTAATTTCCATATTGGGGTGAACTTTGGAAAAACAGCACTTGCCTTACCCACTCATTACAACTAAGTCACCAGAGTTATGGAAGGAGCCACCTAATGAAGAGAACTCAAAGTTGTTCTTTTCTAGAATGGTGAAATCATCTGGGGTCATGCCAGGTCTCCCAACCTTGGTTTCTGACTTGTTGATTATAAGATGTTTGCATAGCAGTTAAAACTAGGCTATTAGTCTTTTGCTATATTTCATTTATCAGTGTATTTAGGAGATAGATGCCATCAGTAAAGTTCAGATCTCCAGGTACTCCACCAGAATCCTGATTTCCATAGAAGAAATCTGTCTCCTGTCAAAAGTCAGTGAAAACAAGCAATAAAGAGGAAAGGAGATACCCTTATCTAACTTTGGTGGTAACACAAAACCAGCCTGTTTGTTTTTGGTTGAAGATCACAATATGTTTGGCATCATGAGTGATAGTGTAATCCTGTGGCAATGAAAGTGGCTTAAAACCCTTCTCTGAGCTTCAAAAAAATGGAAAAAAGGAACAATTAAACCTGCCTGTCTCCCAAGTTCTAGTAAAACAGTCAAAGCATTTTCAAGGTTTCTTTGGCTGCAAAGCAATTGTGGATGTTAAGTACTTTTTTTAGCAAAACAAATTCCAAAAACTATTCATGGATATAGTATTCTGTTTTGAATATCTATGTCCCTTGCACCACTGACTTTTAGCTTCTTCTCTGTTCCCCCCCCCCCGGCCGTGCACTCCAGGTTCTTGGTTCCTAAACTTTTCTCTCCTTTTATAGGCAAATTGAAAGGATTCTGCCTGGAACCAAGGCAGTGATGCATAAGCCTAAAACTTTTAAATCCCAAAATTTTCAACCACTTTTTCAAAGTGCTTCCTAAAAACTCCTACTGAATGAGATTTTTAATTGCATGTATTCTTCCACAACGAATTATACCTAATGTTTTGAATATTGACTTGTACCACCAAAAAGAAAAACCCAAACAAATATAGCTCCCTAGCCACCTCTTTAACTTCCTTTCTGTACACACATACCTTGTAGAATAAACCCACAAATAATGAGGTCACGCATCATTGCTTATACCATTTAATTATGTATTGATATACATTCAGTGTTTAACCCGTCCCATAAAAGCTACAGTGCTCATTAACTGAAGACATAATACAACCCATAAAAAGTGATTTTTAAACTTACCACAGGCATTGAGTCCAACATAAAACCATAAGGAATAATTCCCACTGGAGCCCAAATCTGAGCTTCGAAGTAAAGTATTTCTATAACTTCTCCAGACATGCACTGTTTGTCCTGACAGTCTCTCTCCTTAATATGTGCCTCTGCAAAGACTCAAGGGCAAAGACTTCTTTTGAATGGGCTGTGCCTATCTATTCTCCAGCACCCTCACACAGCTAGCTCTGTGTAGTTTCCCTTGTCCATCTACTAGGGATTCATTTATAGCATAACTAGTTTCTCATATTTTAAAATCCTGGATCACATGTATCAAAATAGCATTAAAGGCATGCTGACTACTTTATTACCTGTTGGGTAAATAACGTACTATCCTTTCTCATTACAAGAAGGAGCTACTCTTGTCTGGTCCAATGGTTTCAATTCCTTTCCTATTATTTTGACTACAGCTGGATAATTTAACATTTGTGGACATAATCTGAATTGGTTTGAAAAGTATAGATGAGTCAGGACACTTGGCATTTCCCCATCAGTTTAAAATGAAACAAACACCATCCTGACTTGCTCTGTGATGCAGATGTTGTCCTTTCCTGCATGTCCCATTTTGAACTTGAAGCATCCAGTTAGTGTAGTGTAGGGA